GGGGGGGGGGGAATATAGCCCAACTCTTTTCGGAGTTACTGTCTTTTTGTTTTGTTTAGTTAGATGTAAAACGTGCAGTCGTCAATAATATAGATAGCGTCCTCTTGCAGTGAAAAGTTTTTAACTTTTGGTATACATGACGTCACATGGCTATTATCGTGTTTTGCTTTCCTAACGACACAAAACACCCGTCGGTCAGCAGCGTGTGTGTGGTAAACTTTCGATCGTATAGCTGTAGAAGTCAATAGTAACTTGATCGGAAGCATGACAACTGCTATTCTTGTGTAAGGAACTCTGGATATTATACAATGGATTGTTTATAGGAATTATTGTAACCAGTATTATGCCTTTAATATCAGCGGAACAGACACGTCCACCATCAGAACAGGTAGGCAAGATTAAGAAGAAGCAGGCCTAAGCCAACCTTGGTTTAGGGTATCCACCCTCTCTACACCGACCGTGTTGTCCTCCTTTTGGGCGGCCCATTCCTTTCTCGGTGCTAGATGTGGAAGTGAATGAGTCTCGTTCAGATGTCTTCATTCTTTTCTGTAAAATCATGGAGGCAAAGCCAGGCTGTCAATAAATTCTTTAGTTAAGCCTATGTACTTTTACTTTGAAGTGTACTATTGTTAGAAAAAGGCTCTTTTGAATTTCCTCATTTCTTCTAGGCTACTTCTATTTCGATACTCAGCTTACCTTATTCAGTCAGGAGATTAGATGTAACAATTTTTGGCGTGGAGCAGGTATAAGTCAATAATCTTCAGTGTACTTTTTCAATATGTTTTTCATTGGTTATTTGTGTATGTTCTATACTTTGTTATTCTTTTGTATTAAGCATAATAATTTTTAATCGCATCAACATTTATATACTTGCAGGGTGGCTCCAGAAATTTGCTAACAAGTGTGTTGGAATAGAAATTTCTGATAGGGTTGATGGGGAGAGTTTTATGACTTTAAGTGTATGGACCAAAAATGTGCTTTTAGACCATATATTAGGGATTCGCAATCAAAATAATGTTTTAATGGTTAATGGTTTTAAATAAGTATAGTGCAAAATACAAAAAGTCTGTATGCGCTGTAAAACCAAGAACAGATTACAAAAACGTAGCTTATTATACAGAGGTGCTAAATTATGGAATGAACTTAGTAATGACCTCAAAATCTCAAATAACATTTCCAATTTAAAAATGAAAATAAAAATCAATTAAAAGTATTACAGTTAATGATGTAAGTGTATTTAAGATAATTCAGTTTAGTTAATGTAGTTAAGTTTTTTTCAGTAGGTATTAATGTGATTTTCTTTTGTAATTAGTCTATTTTTACCTTTTTAATTTCTGTTGAGTTTTACAATGCCTTTATGGCCTTGTTGAAAAACACCATTGTGGTGAACAAGTGTTTCCTAGTTAAATAAAGTTATTATTATTATTAAATCTTGCGCATAAATGTAATGCCTATAGATATTATAAAATATTTGTACTATTTATGACTTTTGTTGTAGCCCTCTTGCTAAATATTTTCTACCTAACAGTACTTAAAATTTCATGGTACAGGAACATCGTGTACTGTATACCAACACTTTAGTTATATTATTTTTTAAGCACTGTATAAGAATACGATCAAATGATACATACAGTGTGAACAAATTTGTGTGAAAACAACTGGAAATGCATGTACAGTATTCTCAATTAAAAGGGAAAAATGCAGATCGTGAATGCATTTTCAAGCATAGGAATAACATTTTTGGGGGTAGTTGTAAATCCCCGAAAAAAAGGTGGGGGTGGGGGGAATTTTCTCACACTTTGAAATTCTAGCACTTGTAAATTTGTCTGACTTGGAATGTCTGTGCCATTACAAAATATTATTAGATTTATAAATCACTTCCTTCCACATCAAAATTCTGTTTGACACAGTAAATACAAAATTTTTTTTTTACCTCATTTATTTTTTAATAACACAGGGCCGGCGGAACGTTTTTCAAAGTGAGGGTGTCAACTAGCATTTCTTTCCGATAGACATTATATATTTTCTGCCAAAAAGTGGGGTCCCCGCTCCCCCTGATTCCGCCAGTCATGTAACATATCTTGTGGTTCTTGGAAAGCTCATATCAAATTACGACACAGATGTTATGTGTAAGCGTACATTTTGTCTTTATGCAATACTTTACCCAAAAATGCAATGTGTGCATTTTTGGTGGAAATGATGTTTATCCTATTAAATTAATTTATGCTTCTTTTATAAATACTCAATCCTGATAAAACCTCCCTCATCAATTTTTTGAAAATTTTCAATGTAATTTGTACAGCCAGGATAGTTATTATTCTTGGAAATGTCAATTTGCATTATTTTTGTCTAATTTTAATAAATCTTTGTTAAAAAATTTGATTTTTGCTTCTGATCCGTACAGGAATCTCACTAGACCATAAAATAAATATGTACAGGTTACCTGACCATACCATGCGCTATGCAATTATATATGAAAAGTGTCTACTTTTAAAAAACATTTATATATTATGATATTTTACCTAAGAGTAGACTATAAGATTAACTCTTTAATATTTTATAATTGTTTTAACACTTAATTATCATCATATTAAAAATAAAATATAATGAAAATAATGTTAAACTATGAATTACTTTATTTAGTTAGCTTTAGATTTGAAGTCAGATTCCAGAGCATTTTTTATGTATTGTAAAATTCACCGTCAAACAACCTTTTTTTATCTGTTCTACAACATTGATGAATGTTAAATAACAAGAAAGTGTTTTTTTTTTATTCAATAACCTTTATTTATAATATAAATTTAGTTTATTTAGTTGAAAGTTATGTCATTATTTTATGTGTAAAAAACTGTTAATACAATAAAAAAAAATAGGAATGAAATAAAAGTGGGTGAAACTCCCACAAAGAGAGAAAAAATTATGAACATACCCCTTCCTTTTGAAATAATCACTGAATAAATAACAGCCTACTGTACATACTGTACATTAGCCTAATCCCCTGCATGAAACACACAGTTAATATTCGTCATCTTACTGAACACTATCAAATTAGAACAAGGATAATAGATCCTTTATCATTTAATTAACATTGACAATTGTTACTAAGTTGGATCTATATAACCTCCCTATTGGATTTTGATCTAGTTTCATTTCTGTCCCCCAGTTGCCTGGCGACACAACAGAGTATGTTTGTTTAGTTGCAGTTATTTCGGTAGTGGAAAAATCTTTAAGAAATTGCTGTAGTTTGTTGTTTTTCATTTTGTCTTAGTATTTATATTTTTGGTTCACCAGATTAATACAGCTTAAGAATGGAAAGACAAAAAAAAAATTGGTTTATCACCCTTGCGCACATGCCTTTTATGGCACTGAAAATATATATTTTTTAAAATTTTGAAAAAAAAGATTGTTTTCATTTTTTTAAAATTAAATAGTAGATATTGTTATTATTATTATTATTATTATTATTATTATTATTATTATTATTATTATTATTATTATTATTATTATTATTATCTCAATCATGTTTTACTTTGAGTATCAATGCACCAGCAAAGAAAACAAGGGTGATATTTGCCTTTATAAAATAAAAAAAGCCTTCCTCCCTCATCACTCTTCCTACCTAAATAGGGTGATAAACTAATATTTTTTATAGGGCCTATGTACATGAAATATAAAATACAGGAAGTGTTTAGTTCCCATTTCATTCTTTTTATTAATTTAAGTTTATTTGTTTCATCATACTGAAATAAAAGAAGATACCAGGTAGTGATTGATTTTCTATAAACCATTGTTGTAAATCTAAGGTTAGCACAGGCCTGCATTCATAAACTCGTGAAAAAAAACCCCAAAATTAATATAAAAAATTGAAGACTATAGAACCATTAGTTAACAGTAGTACTGTACACATTAGTATTATAGAGATTTAACAAACTTGAAGTCAAAGCCAATTTTTGATTAGTAATGTGAAGCGCTTAAAATGGCCTTTAAATTAAAGGCCATGAGTTCAGCGCTATAAGTCAAACATTATTAATGCATAGGCCTACAGTATTACCAGGCTTGTATTGTAGATAATATTGATCACTAGAATCAACATAGATAAAATACAGTACTTGCCTCTCTCTGGAGAGTGCACAATATTCCATTGTCAGTATTTAGTATATTGGTTTTCAAAGATCAGGCTGTAAAATACTGTGTACTACTTGGTGAATTGAGATGATAGGATAAAGTACCTTGCTTCAAGTGAAGTGGAGTTTAATAGCTTAGTGGTATGCTTGCCTTTCTAGTCCCAGGTTCAATTCATGTGAGAGGAGGACTCTTATTACGACTAAAAACATCTTCACTCCCAAAGCCTCTGAAAGAGACTTCGCTGATAAATAAAAGTGTCACATTTTTTTCATTTTATTAAGAGGACCCCTGAATATCAGCCGACCTAGGATACGCTGGAAGGGTCATCCTTTATAAATATGGTTAATAAAATATCACAGTGGGCTCACATACAGTAATCATAATGTTTCTGGCTAATCCCATAAGCTACTTTATCAGTATTCATGCTATTGATGTTTTTTTCACATAGTTGGTGGATCTTCATGTTTACCTTGTACCCACATCATCATGGAATGAACAATATCGCAGCGTCTTCAACCAAGCTGTCAACCAAACGATCTCGGCAGGATTTGTCAGGTAATTAAACGACCAATAAAACTTGGCACGTCTTTCAAAGTAATAACAGTAAAACATATGATGTGCAGTGTTTAAGCTGTCATTAGCCAAATAGCCAAATCCTAATAAAAGCTGAGTTTGGCAAAATATTTTCGTTCAAAATTAGCCAAAAAGCTAATGGAATTAAAGCTTAATTCTTTATATTCTTTTGTTTTTGGCTAATCAAATTTTTATTTAGCTAATTATTTTCTTACTGAATTAGCCAAATTGCTAAATATTGTTTTTGTCCAGCTTAAACTCTGGATGTGATGTGTATTTTACATGCAATTTGGCCTTGGATTGGAGAATAAAATCAATAAAATGAAATTAAATGTTATATGATGTATTATAATAATATATCGACCTGTCCTATGAGATGTGTAATTTGAACTCTTGAATCATGTACTGTATGATATTCATATAAATTACTATATAATTAACTTGGCAGTTGTCTCATTGTCAATCCATGATGACTTGATGTTATTTTTAAGTGCAAATGTAAATAGGAAGCAATTCAAATAAATAATGTTCTCATTTATTTATCAGGCATTCCTTAATGACTGACACACTGTGTGCCACTATGCTAATGAGATGTACATTACTGTACTGAGATATGAAGAACTAGCATTTATCATTTAACTGATAGCATTTTTTGAAATTTATGTTTTACTCAGATAGCCAGTTATTGCTAACCTGAAGCTATCATGATTATAATTTTTTTGACAATAATCTTGTGTATGAAATAACCATATTAAAGTACACATTTCTGTATAGTGGATGTCCAATTTATATTTTAAATAAATATAAATACCACACTCATATATAAATATGCTCCCTCAAAAACATCTAAAACAGTAAACGCTATAGAGTGTTTATTCAAATATATATGGTACTGTAATTGTCATAGAAAATAAGTTGGTAAAAACATAGGAAAAAAAACCATACCATAGTGATTTACTTTAAGTAAAAATAAAACCAGTGAAGTCGACATTTTTTTTTTTTGTTTGGAGTAGATTTTCAATTTTTGTTCCAATCTCCTGCAGAGCTCATCCTGAGGATCATTTATATAAGTTACGAGATGATGTTGAGGAACAGCTTGGCTCCGATATTATACCGGAAGAGTATGTTTTCCTAAGAAGTGTAGGCAGGTGCTTAACTCAGGTAAGTCATGCACAGAATTATTAAAGTTTAAATTACATTCCACCAAGAAGGCTGTCAGATATAAGGCTACAGTATGCATTTACTCACCTACAGGGAGAACCTACCGTAATACTGTATTGTATGCCAAACTTACAAAACACATTTGCCCACAAGACACACTTGCTGTTATCAATAAAACAACAAACTGTTGAATTCCATGTTTAAAATGTACAGTCATAATTTAATTATAACCTCGGTCTAATTCTATTGGTGTGTGCATCAGTAAAGTCAAATTCTAGTTAGTGACAGTTTTTTCTATAGCCAAGAAATATTTGTCACGGTATGTGATGGGTCATACCAACAGCGCCTGTGGGTAGAATTAACTAGTTATACTGTATTCAAGTTACAACAGGCCTTTATTCAAGTGGTATTGTACAGTAGATGTAAAACACCCACGCACACAAATTAATGTATGAAATAATTAGTCATAAAATCTTTTAAAATTATTATTGAATTACAACTTTAATTGTCTACAACAATCATGAACAATTTGCATTGTCCAGTTCTATTAGCAGTTGACTTTGATTTACACAATACACTGTTGGTATAATAAAATTTGGTGCAAATAAGTTCAAAATGTTGTCAAAAGTTGTAGAGTGACTCATTTCAAAGGTTATGATATTTATCCACAAAGATAGATAATTTTATGTATAGGTATTAAATCATAATCGGATGTGTACCCACTTTTCTAATCATTGGGTAAATAATGTACAATCCAAATGTACAATCCAATGTACTCAAGAAGCGGTTTGGCGCAGCGGGAAGAGTTTGGTTTCCCAACCTAGGTCGGGGTTTCAATCCCTCGCTGTGCATTTCGCTTGTGTACTGTACTTGAGCAAGACACTTTATCTGCATTGCTTCTCTTCACCCAGGAGTATAAATGGGAACCGAGTGGGGTTGCCTGCTCCTGCGCTGATTACCAGCAGCAACACTTAGCATGTGGACCCAATGACCAGGGAAAAGAACTGCGCTTTATAACCACAAGGAAGAGGCGCATTATAAATGCCCGTACCGTACCAGAAGGAATACTGATCTGTCTAAATTTGTCTTAATAATAGTACCGTAATTTGGAGTTCTTTGTTTTTACGGAAGCATAAGGAGTTGATCATCCTTGATTTTTTAGGCTGCTTGCAAGGGGAGTGGGTGTATGTACACATTGACTGTCCCAGGATATGAGTGATGATCTGGCTAGATAGCCATTTACTATAATGGTACAGCTTACACTCATCACAATGTTTGTACTCTGTTGTTTGTTTTGATTCTCTTTGTCTGCCAGCTTTGTTTGAACAGATTCTTCTTCAAACAACTTAGTTGCTTCAGTCCTTGTTGTTATATGAAAACAATCAGGTGTAACCAGGTTATAATCCTTAAACATACTGCAGGATATTCTAATCCGTTTTTAAACTACATTAATTCACAGATCTATTCATGGTTAACCAAAGTACACACATGATGACAAATAATCCTTGCATGATGTATTTCTTAATTATAAACTCAGCTCATTTTTGCACAACAAAAAAATTCAATCTTAGATTTTTGATATTTTTTGTCGGTTGACTTTTGTCAACACATAAGTCTTTTTTGGCTTAACATTCTGTTCTTCAATTTCAATTTAACAATATACATTAATTTCATGCAGTTCCTAATCTATAAAAGGTGAAGGTCTTGTAATTAATACAATAACAATATATCTAAAAATAATACAGTGTTTTCAATTGCAAAACCAAAGTTTAACGTAATGAAATGTGCGTAGATCATCAGCCAAAAACAAATACCCGTATGAGCAGACACATGTTCATGAAAAAATTTGGAGATTTACTTTTATTATTTTGTGGAAAATTTTATTGAGAGTCAGCCCTTCAGACAGATTTTTTGGCCAAAGTTTTGGAGCAGTGTTATTTATTTAAGACCTAACTGTAATTTATATTTAATTGTGCATGAGTACATACTATTAAGGTGACAATATATTACTTGCTTTATAAATTTATCAAGCTTTAATAAACACATTCATCTAGCTAGCAACATGACAGAGGTGTCAATAATTGACTTTTGTTGCGATTATTATTATTTCTGTGCCATCTGAAACACAAACAATGTGTACATGTTAATTTAAATTTTACCAACTACATTACCATAATGAAGACAAGTCAATTCATGGCACTAACATCTTTATATATGCTCCATGGTCAATTAAAACACCTACAGTGTCATACCATTAATTATAAGCACAATGGAGACCATTAAAGTGATACCACACTTCATTTATTCCAATAATAATTTTTCAGTTGTTAACTAGTCACTATACTGATATAATTCAGTTGGTAGAAGTAGTAAGCGAGCAAACCAATTGGACCACCAGAGATTCTTGTTTTGTCAAAAGTAACATTTCATTAATCCTTCAGCAAAGAAAACACTGCATCCTTGCATAAAAAAGTATAAAACCCAACATAAAATACAGCAACATAAAATCTGAATAATGAAATGTATGAATGGTGAGAGAATGCAACAATGTTGAAGCCTTCCTCTCTGGTATGGTTTCAAAAATTTGTTCTTAAATTTCGCAACATATTTTTGTGAAAAGTTGTTAGGAACTGCATTTTATTTACTGTAGCCACAACAAATTATTGATACAATTCCAGAGTGAAAATTGACACTAGCTGAGCTAATTCCAATGGTATTGACCCTACCACTTATTTACGGCAACAATGGTTAAAAATCAGAAAATTTCTGTCTTGGATTACCTCTAATTTTAATCAATATTTAGCGTGAAATGATTGTGACATAGTAACTGGAGTGTGAAAGAGCTCATTTGTGTCCTAGGTGACCCAAATCTCATCCTTAGGAATGCAGTGACCGTCAATGAGGAAACAAGTGTATATACCCAGCAGCTTCAGGCCTGTGATTTGATAACCCAGGTCTGTTTCTCCTTAATTGATTTTTTTTTGTACTGCAAGACTGTATTTTTTTAAAGAGTTTTTTTGGTATTTCCTGATGCCTTTAGTCTGAGCATGATTGATGGATTACCCACTTGTTGCACCAGCTCTCATTTCTCATAAATTGTATAATACATTATCTGGCATAAAGGGCATTAGATCTGCATTAGATCTAACTAACTATACTACTGTATAGTGCTCTCAGTAATCAGGAAAACATTCCTTGTTTCTCAAACTTATTTTTTTAAAGATCATCAGAGTAGGGCGGAAAAAAAATAAAAATAAAGTTTTGTTTTCTTATTTAGCAAATAGTTTTGCCAAAATCATCTAGACGGAGGAGAAAATGAAAATAAAATATTATTGGTAAATGTAAACAGTGTAGTAATGGTTAAATGCTTTAAGTTTTTATAATTAGGAAGAAATATACATATCTTATTTTGGAGATTTCAAGGCAGCGTAGGGTATAATAAAAATAAAGAAAAAAAACTTTAATTTCATTTTTCCATGGTGACAGGTATGCTAATTGGCCAAAAATAAAATTTTATTTTTATTCGAAATCATCATTATTTTCAGGCAGCGGGTTCACTAAACAAGGTATAAAAATGTCTTGCCAAGCATTTGATGGAATCGTTCAGAGCTGTATTCCTGTTATTATTAATATAAAGCATTTGATGGAATCGTTGAGAGCTGTATTCCTGTTATTATTAATATACTGCATTTGAAAGTGCACTTCACTTGAATCTAGACATTTTAGCAATTAGTTGGGAAAGACATTATAATGTGTTTCCATAATTCAAGGACTTGTTTGTACGCTTTGATCAATATTTATATCCCATTAACTCCATACAGTATATAAACACATTTTATTTTCCTTTGCCAAATTATAAACAATGAATTATTTTTTCTTAGGAACAAACTTGGATTATATTACAGTAGTTTCAAATGATTTTAAAAAGCAGTTCCATTTCCAAAGACTCTAAAATTTTTGATTGAAAGAATTATTTTTATTTAAAAAATCAATCATATAATTTGTTCAATTTTACTTCTGCTTTCTAAATGTGGACAATTACATTATTTACTTTAACAATTTAATTATTATTATAGTTATCAATTGTTACCTGATCAATTATTACTAATTATAAATAGAGTATATAATTGTTTGTTTTGTAATATTATTTAATTTTCACTAATACTGTAAATGTCATTTTTAATTAATCCCTGTCCTACAAATAGGCCTAATGTTTACAATTATAATTGCCAAATGTTATATTAAATAAAGAAGCAATGTAAAAACTTTTTAAAAAAAAAAGCATTATTTCAGAATTTTAAAAAATATTTCAATATCTAGATCACATGCATTCATTAATATTTTATGGGTTATTGGCCAAAAGTATTCTTATTAAGCAAATTGAAATTGCGAAAGAAAAAATTATTTTCAAAATTGCATTGCAAATTACTTAAAAATGGATCTAGCAATTTTAATTATTGTTTTAACTTTAATGATATGGCATGTGAGTGAACCAATACCTTACTGGGGTACAGTCCAATCTAATCTCTGTATGGAATATGGATTCTTTTTTATTTATCACTGATCGCTTGAGGCAGACTGCACTATTTGTTGATGAAACAGCATAATCTATTTTAATTGTAAATTCACAAAAGGTCCTACAGACTGTAAATTTGATTAGAATTCTTAAATCTATGATGTTTCTTGTTAGTAATTTTTGCTTTGCATGTTTATCACAGTATTTACAACCATAAATACATTGTTTTCTATAGTCTGTTTCCATTCTCAGTTTATTGTAAGGTTTGTATTCTTGATATTCTTTATTGCATTATTTATTGTGTTTATAATGATGAAATAAAAAAATAAACCTAATTCAGGAAAATAATGATTCACATAATTTTGTTGAAAAGCTTGTAGGGTTGATTAGATCGAACATGTTCACTGGATAATACTGTTAACTCAAAAGACTGAAACAAATCCATTGTCAGAACTCACTGTCGTGGAGCTCACTGCCAGGGTATTCACCCTTGCTGTCATGGAAGAACCTTGCTCTCATATGGCGCAGTGGCAGCACCAGCTGAGTGGGGGTGGCGGGGAGCTTAAACAACAGGATAGGACAGTATTTACTGTATCCAACTGGAGACTACTCTTGGAAAAAAGCACTTTCACTATACTACTTGGGGTTGAAGTATCTTAGCAACTAAAACATCATTGATGTTTCAGGGTTATATAGAAAAGATGACAAACATACGTCAAATAAAGTCAATAACTGCCATATGATGTAGAGTGTTTGCAAACATTTGAAATGTATTAAGTGAGTGTGGTACGTGACATGGGCAGTAGCCCTACGAACGAATACCCGTAACCTGCATTCTCAATATTGTCGCTACAGCACATACACTGTACATCATAACATAAGAATATGATCGTAAAATAGGGTACTGTATTTTCATTTTCACAAAATCAATTATCTTTAAATTAAAGTATGTCTCTATTGCTAAAAATTTATAAGAAAATTGAAATTTTATGGACAAAAGTAGCATGGTCTCTTTCAGGCTTCCTATAGAAATATGAATTGTTTTGAGACAAATCCAAGATTAATCCTGCTGTAATACTCTTTTTACAGTTGGAGATGACTAATTGCAATGTACATTAATACAAAAATGATAGTTGTTTTTCAGCACAATCGTCTGATATTTTATACTGAACGTCTTTTGATAAACCTGGTTTTATTATTCAAAGGGAATAATGTTTTTCTATCTCTACCAAGTGTATTGAATGGCTGGTTAAAGTAAATGAATTAAACACGTTAATTTTAATTCAATCATTCTTGTTTTTAAGGTGAAAGGCAAACAAGAGCTTATTCTGAAGGTTAAGAACTTTCTACCCCCATATGTAAGTATAGGCCTACTCTAATACTTATATTTTTATGCATTTTATTGATATAGTTGGTACTAAAATATATAATTGAAAATATCAAATAATTGTTTAAACAAATTACATGTGATCTCATTTTTTAGAAATTTGTAACATTTTGACGTTTAACTGTAAATAAAGTTCAATTTCTTTTAATGCATTTTCATGTATAAAATACTGAACACTACATGAATAAAAGTTTTATACTTTGTAATGAAAACTTTTAACAACTAGATTACCATTTTACCAATCATTTCTTCTTTTTATTCTAATTTTTATAATAGATTATTTCTCTTTACAGAACTTTAGTGCAGAGATATTTGTTTTAAAAAGTAAACGAGAACCAGTCCCTCTCCCAGATATTAACCGAAGTAAAGAACATTTATTAGAAAGAAAGTATTCTCGTACAGAAGGAACTCAAACAACTCAATCTACAAATAGTGGTTACCATAGTGATGACTGGTCAGCCAATCATGTCAAACCAAAATCAACAGATTTCTCAATGTCCAATCAGCATTCAGTTTCAGGTAATTTCAAAGATATTTATGATACAGCCACAAAGCCCTGTCCAGACTATTGTTATAGTGATGACATCACATCATGAGCATATATAGGCACATGATGACTATATATGGGCACATGATGACTATATATGGGCACATGATGAGTATATACAGTATGGGCACATGATGACTATATATGGGCACATGATGACCATATATAGGCACATCATGACTATATATGGGCACATAATGATAATAAAAATAACGCTAATAGTAATAATAATATAAATTATTTATTAAATTTGAGAATGTTTTTAATAATACATTAATACAGGTCAATATGAGTGAATGTTTGTCCAATGTCATTTTAAGCGAATTCCAGGATAACCACTTTCTTACCTGTGTGCCAGTGGGGTGATTTCAACTTCCACAATGATACAATACTCTTAAGCAACTCTAGTTTGGGTTAACCAGTTTGTTTAATTGGCCTACTTATCTTTGAAAATTGTCTCATTGTATTTATGCTTCATTTCACTTTTATTGGCTATTAATTTATATCTTTATTACTTTATTATTCAAATATGCAACATAACAACTCTCATTATTGATTTTTGAAATGTAATTTTATCCATGTATATTAGTACTTAATGCCAGAATCGGTTAAAGTATGGCAATTACCCATAAGTTTGTCGCCAAATTTAGGATCACTGGCAGCAGCTAAGTGTGGGCATCAGAACAAGCGTACTGTACCACATACATTTTGTACTAGAGAATTTACAATTGGTATCTGCTCATGGCATCCACCCAAACTGGCATCCTTTAAACTGCCATCTGCACGCATTAGCATTCACATCAGTAACAGAAGAAATTATAATAATGTATTGTGTACAAAAGTATATTGTTTGCTTTTTATTAGATTGTTGTGAATTGACTGGCAAAACTAACTAGTAAATGCACTATTTCTGATCTTTTATTTAATGCATGTTGTGAGTTTTCATAAAAAGAAATACAATGTATGGAATAATGGTCAGTATCATGAATATTCATACCCATCATTAGGGAAAAAATGTAAAAAAAAATAATAATGTAATTAGTTAGTAATTATTTAAACCTTTTTGTATTGCATTGTTATTATCATTTAAATTTACCATCACAAAACAAAATCATCTTGCTAATAACAACATGTGATCACAAATTTAACATAGTATGTATTTTAATTAAATCATCATCAACCGTCATTTCTTTGAAAATAAATATTGCTCTATTTAAATATTAATTCCGTTTCAAAAGATTTTTGTTCTCTAACATGAAGCCAATGTGGAAAAATTTAATTGCAAAACTTTGCACAAATTGCTCCCTAAACTAGCCTCATGGCATATTTTTGGTGTCTAATTTAAACATATACACTGTACTAGGATTGTATAGTAGGCAATCAGCACCAAGCTACTGCATGATTTTATTTTATTAGTACTACACTGGCTATTATGAGGCTTAGGCAGTAAAGGATAATAACATCAAGGATTTGAATCTGGGGCTCTAGAATTAGTAGGTAGTCGCCTTTACCACAGCGTCACTTATGTTGAGGCATTTCTTTAGTATTAATTATTGGCTTCTCCTACATTTACTTATAAATTATTGATGCTTTTCATTGATCATATGCAGTAATTTGACATTTCCAGAAATAGAATAGCTACATTGTAATTTAATTACAGTAGCCTCAGTAACCATTAAGTATAAATTATTGATGCAAAATCTATTGACATAATTGTTGATTCATGGTGGCAGAATTGCTTGCACTTTAATCTTAACCAATAGCTGGTTGCTAGGTTTCTGTAGCTACCAACTTAAGTTGCGTCGTAATATTGGTATTCTATTTTGCAGTAGATTGATAGGCTTCATATCTTTAGACACTTGTTAGTTGGACTGGTCTCAGCAAATAATTTTTATTTTTATTTTTTCTAATTTCTGCCATATACATCATAACGAACAAAATTGCAAAACGATAAAGCAAATCAAAGAAAGAAAGACCAAACAGGTTCTAGACACCTTTGCAAGTTGGTCAACCCATAACAATATTCTCTCTACTACCTCGTTTTTAATTTATTTAAAAAAATCATCTCAGATTTTGCAAAATAAAGAGATAACTGTACTGTACATACATAAACAAATTGAAACATACAAAAACCATCTCTTACAAGATTTATATCAGAATTGTTCAACATAATTTTTAATAAAAGAAATTTGTTTGTATAGGAAATTTTCTGAACTTCGTTCTACGATCATATTGTAAATCTTAAAGAATTAATATATCCTACTCAAATGTAAGATAAATTTAAATTATATGATCATAAATCTTAAAGAATTAATATATTTTACTCAGTAAATATAAGATGAATTTAAATTCAGTTTTGTGATCATGGTACTGATTTATCTTTTTGATTTTTTCCTTTCTCATTTTTGCACAGTAAAATCACAGAATAAAAAAACCATCAATCCATCAAAAAAAAATTCTGTTAGAAAAGGTCCAAAGGGAGTAAATAGAAAAGGTATAACAACCTTAGGTGGAAGAACACAACAAGGAGGGGTAAGAATACATCAGGGTGGGAAAATTAGTGGGAAACATTTCAGAGAAATGACAAACAGGAGACCTGAGAACAGAGGACTAGCAACTGCAAGGATTTTAGAGAAAGTATCTCAGAATTCCAAGGCTGGTTTTGAGAGGGAAAGTTCACCTAATGTAGGGACTAGTAAGATTGGTAGAGGGAAGTGTCAGGGGATGTCATCAAACAGAAATATGGACAAAAACTCTAGGCTGACTGAAGGAGAATTGAGACTAGGAATGAGCACTGAGGACAGATCAGCCAGGGTAGCAGCAGGGATAGATAGACAGGCCAATCATGTTAGCTTAGAGACAGTGAAGAGGCGAATGATCCCCCAAACTAAAGAACAGCATGGTAAGCTGTCTGAAATAGATAGTTAAGTAAGTGAATAATGAATTCCTACAGTCAAAGATAGAATACATATATTTACGTCTATTTTACGTTAACTCAGACATAATCACTCTGTATCAATATATCAATATTGGTAAACCTTTATGTGTTTTATTTAGTAGAAACTTTATAGTACTTTGTAGTATAGTATAGAATGGATGTCATGATTCCTTCACACTGTATTACAATGTTATGATAATTCACATGTGATGCAAGCATTTTCTGTTGCACAGCAAACTGATTGTGAGTGTTCCATTTGTTTGTTTTTAGGACACATTGCACCTCACTCATCGCACCAGCCAAGTAACCAAGGTGATAACCTCTCCTCTAGCTCTCATGATACTCACTCCTCATTTTCATCCTCTGGTCATCCACCCCTTCCACCTATAGCTACCCATCAATACCCCACCCCTCCCCGCTCAGATTCTCCCTCCCATAAACATAAAACAAAATCTCAGCAGTATGATTTAGCCTCAAGATCTCAGGATTCTCTGCCCCGGTTTTTAAGCCCTGAACAAAATGATCACATATTTCCCACACAAGATGTGGAAGAACAATCACCACGGTCCCAGGCCCCCACTAATAGTAATCAGGATTATAGGCCCCCATTAAGTGCAACTCCGCCTGATTCTCCCTTATATAATGTAGCCCCAACTCTTTTAACAAACAAAATGGAAATTCCAGAACCCAGGAAGGCTTTAGACAAGTCTGGCTGGAGGGATACGTACACTAACGGAACAAATGAAGACTCTGGAATTGCTGAACCAACACCGGAGGAAGACCTAGGATTCCACCAGCAACATCATAACTTACTAGAAAGGTTTGTACAAGTTATTGTTTTTAATTTTGTTCTCATCAGTATGACTATAACGTTTTTCACTTTAGAAGTGAAAGCTACATTTCGAGCTTCTCATTGTTTAGGGTACAGTAGAGAAAGGTCTATAAAAATCTTCGCAAACTTCTGAATTGTCAAAGATTTTTTACTTTGATAATTTCAGTAGTGAGGTGATAGACCAGCACTCAGATAATGGAAACATGATTGTTCTGCATCACAACCAGGAAGAACCTCATCGGACAGAGCAGAGGAGGCGTTTCCATGACGACGATAATTCTTCCAAAGCCATTGAAGAGAAAACTGTTCATGATTTCCAAATGAATTATGAAAAATTTTTGGAAGATGAAGAGAATAGGAAAGAACTTGAAAACCTTCAGCTGATGAGGGAACAAAATGCCCAGAATGTTGCTGATGTCCGAAGGAAGAAAGAAGAGATGCAGCGAGCAATGTCTCGCAGAGCACGAGAACTCGCAAGTCAGAATTCTCACGATACTAAGCAATATCAAGTTAATGAGATTGAACCCTATGAGGGGAGTAGTTTTGCCAGCAAAGAAGTGTCACAGTATGAAGACATTACAGGTCATGATAACATTGAGCCAGAACATTTAATGGATGAGCAAAGAGATTTGAACCAAGAATCATGGTCTGATGGTCAGCCATCAACATTGACAGAAAAGGAATTATTACAAAAACTACGAAAAAATGAAGCAGAAAAAAACAGGATGGCTTTGGAAGCAATACAAATAGAAGATTCTGCCAAGGAACACTCCTTCTTAAAGGTAAGTATAAGCCATTCTTGAAGTTTTCTTTGAGTGTATCATGTGTACAGGGAGGCAGTAATTTGATTATTATTCCTTTAACATACAAAAAATCTAAGGATAGATAAATTGATAGAATTAAAAATAAACTTATCTATTGTCATTATAGATTTGAATAGAAATTATTATGTATTATTAATTTTTTAATTGATTACCATGTTTTAAATTTTCTAATTATTAGAAGGGTAAAAAAAAGGGAATATCATCAGTAGTAGAAAAGCAGCACCAAGACACCCCATCATCAGCAGAAGCATCAGCAGTGTCGTCAAGACCAGGCCATCAAACTAATCAGCCCAACAAGAACAAAGACTGTAAGTAGGGTCTAGGCCAATATAATAATTACGAAAATCAATTTCAAACTAAATAGAAATAATAATGATGATTATATGTGATGTAATTTTTTATAACTTCTCATTTCTAGTTATTAATAATGTTGCTATTATTATTATAAATATTGTTTTTAATTAACATATACATACACATTTTGTATTTCTTTCATCTTGTCTTGATCTCTACTTCCAAATAGCTACAAGGTCTTTGGTGGACACAGGACACAGTGGAAATACTACTCCCACACCTTCTCCTGGTTTGGCCATAATTTTTGCCTCAGCCTTTGCATCAAATTAACCCCCGTCCCCCTCTTTTTTGCACATTATCCCAATCCCATTCCACCCAATATTTTTTCTCTGACTCTTTCAGTTGTCATTATCAATCCGGCACTACCAATAATTATTGTTGATTTGTGTAATTTTATTATTTTTATGATTGATTTTTTAATTTATAATTAAGGGTATTTTTTGTTACTGTTTATATTATTGCATGTTAATTGTAATTCTAATTTAAAAGTTGAAAACTATTAATGTAACTATTAAAAAAAAAATATTATTAATATTATTATCACCCGAATATACAGTATGTGAAGCTAATAATGATAACATAAAAATACTGTAATATGACATAATGTAAATATCCATGACTTATAAGCACTGATAACTTAGGATATGTATTCCAACACACATATGGTTAGATTTTAGAAAATTGTAACATATTAAGTATCTGTTTATAGGTAACCAACTTCTATTGGATTTGGAAGAAATGCGAGAACAAAGGCTTGCGATTGAGCAGCGCAGGGAGGATTTAGTAAGAAAGGCAAAAACACTGCAAAGCCGTACGCAGGATAGGAGGAATAAAGGTAAACCATTAGTAAGATATATTGAATATTTATTGTGGCTTTATTTAGTTATATTTTCACAAGTTCTTTTTTTAAATGATTAAACCCTTATATTTACAGACAGCAAATAAAAAATGAATGCGACAATTGTATAAATATTGTTTAAGTAAGTTTCTTGGTTTAAGTAAAGTTCGATTGTTTAAGTAAGTTACATGGTTTGACCTGGAAGATGCTTTTGGCTCAGTATCCCATGACCTTGTTAAATATTCTCTAATTAGATGTATTGGAGATCATATAAGGGGTTTTACTGCTTATTTATACCACGAACATTGGTAAATCCCAAAACTAAAGAATATATACCTAATCTATACAGTAAAATAACAGGCAAAGTTGTTACAAATGAATGGTCATCAGATACATTTCCATTTTACAAAGGCATATTCCAGGGCGACCCCCCTATCACTACTTTTATTCATAATGTGTTTCGAGCCAATTATTCAATATCTCGAATCGGAGCTCAAACACGGGTATGCTCTTAGCTAAATGGACAAAAGATAATTAAAGCGCCTTTCGCTGATGATTTTTGTTTTGTTTCTAGGAACAAATCTACCCATCAATGAAAAATTAACAAACTAATGTCTTATACCAGATCCATGGGTTTAAAGCTAAAGCCTGTCATGTGTCGTTCGCTGTCAATTGTTAGTGGATCCCCCTCAGATATATTATATAAACTGGGTGATATTTCGATCCCAATGTTAAATCAGAACATCACAAATTCCTTGGATCTGTAATTACATTCAGAAACAAAGACTGAGATTTATGAGTATCTGGAAAAACTTATAAATGAGGGTTTGACTAGATAGTATAATACATACTCCAAGTATCGAAATGCACGCCATCGTGTCGGGATTCAATATTTCAACATTAATTATGTCATCATCAGGATTTGACTAGTTAGTATTGACAAACGTTGCATTTTCCCCGAGTATAAAGATCGCATTTATTCTCAGAACTTTATTCTAAGTACTTTCTGCCATCAATACGATTTCATTTGACAGTCAATGACACATAGTGCATATTTAGAGAGGTTAGACGCACTTACCAACCGCTTCTTAAAGAAATGGTTTGGAATACCCCACACTGGGACACTTGCATTTTTGCATATGCCCAATGGGCTAAGTATTCTAACGATTTCTGATTTGTATAGAGATGCCATATGGCCTCCCACATTTCTGTAAAATTTAAAAGGCGGGTCTATGGTGAACCACTGTATTAACTCCAGACTAGAACAGGAAAAACAATGGTCTCGTAACTTGTTAGGTGATACCCTTAATAAAATGAAGTTGAAGAGATGGGGCAAGTCTACCTGCGATAGATGTAATAAATGTGGAAATAGGGAAACTTTAAACCACATCTTAAACTCATGTAAATTCTTTTTAGAACAAGGCAGGTATACATGGCGACATAATAACTTTATAATAATAATAATAATAATAATAATAATATTATAATCATTTATTAGGCACCCTTCCAAAAGAGACCAGAGTGCCGTACACATTAAAACAAAGTTATCATACACAAGTAAAAGGCAAAAGCAAATCATTACTAGCATGAAAACGACAATATCGAATTTATATAAATTTAAAGCACATAACCATCCCAGTACTACACTTTTACATTAACCAATAAAATTTTATTTTTATTTTCTCCTCCATCTTGATGTGTTTAGCAAAACCATTTGCTAAATATTTTTTGCCCTCTGACAATCTATAAGAAAAATAAGTTCGCGAAACAAGGTATTAAAAAGTTCTTGACTTATTTTCTTCTTTTTTCATCTCCACTAAACACTGAAACACTGTACTACAACGAGGTTATTACTCATTTGTACCGTGGCGCTCTCGCCAATATTACACACACACACAGACACACTGTGGGGGTATGGATATTATAGCTCTATGCTCACACACATAACATAAACACTAAGCCTTGTGCTATTCATTATTCCTGAGCATGTCTGTATTATTAGCACAATACACCAGACCTTCACAAAAGTATTAAGCCTCCTTGGCGGACTTGCTTCAACAAGCTACACTTTGTTTTCATTCTTACCTCCCTAAAGACCCCTAAATTAGTGAGTGTTGTTCCTCCATTGTTCCTCTACACAAACGATTGAGACCGTAACATGCAAAGTGCATTCAAAATAAATTATTCATCTCCAGTATCTGAATTGATTACTGTCTGGTGGTCATTAAACTTGCAATCAAATTTATGCCTTTTTTTATGATGCAAGACTAGAAGAAAAGAAATGGTTATTTTTTTAATGGCTTTCCTCTCATGATTATCAAAATAATAATATTTTTAAAAATATTTTTCTTTGATTAGCTAAAAAATAATAAACTGTTGATTAGTTTCTTGTATATTTTAAACCCAGTTTATTGAGGTAAGCTATCTAGCAACTGCAAATATATTAGATCACATTAAATTATTTTAAAAATATGCCTTGAGGCATATTGAAAAAATTAATGCATGTTCTTGTACTATATGCTACAGAATAAATATATATTATAGAAAAAATGTCTAATATTATATAATACTAATAAAGTATTGATATATTCATCCAACAATTGTATAAATAAATGGAGATTCAGAGTATAATAAATATTGATGACAGTAATAATAATATGTATGAACTTTAATACCATTAGCAATAATAATATAAATAATAGTAATAATTAAGCAAGTATTTTGACATTTTTGAGGGCAGTATAATAGTTATTCTAAAAAGCAGTTCAAATAATTATAGAAGTCTTGCTCAATTGATAAATGTTTATATGAATTTTGCTTTAGAATATTTGTAGTAGTCTTAATACTCCCTTAAATGAATATTTATAGAAACCTAATACTCAGTTTCTTAATATCCATATATTGCTATACAGTACCATTGTTCGTTGTTTATATCCGTTGCTATGATACACCATTTTCATTTTACTTCGCAAAATTTGAGATTAGCTCGAGAACATTGCATTCAAATAATTAGTTTCTACTGCAAGAAAGCGGTTTTCAATAGAAGTGAGATAATGTTATTACTCCATTGTGTTTTGATTCAATATTTCAGTTCTTTTATGCGGTCGTTAGGCACAATGAATGTCCTTCAGTTGCATATTCCTACGCTATATACTTTATATTATGGTCAGGAAGTAGCCAATCAATAGATGATAAATTGAATCCCATTTCTATCTATCAAAGACTACTGTAATAGAACAAGACAAGACATAATACATGCTTTTAACAGCATCTAAAAGAATGCTTTGATATCTTTATTAAAAGATGTTAGGTATGTTTCCTTTTAGTGAGGATGATATGTAGAATTAAGTACATTTGGAAAACTTATCTACATCAAATTATATTTAAAAGTATATTCTAAAAATTATACACTCTAATGTTATTTATTGTTCTACAGTTAAGAATTTTGTTATAAAAATCATGATGTAGGATTTTGATGATAATGTATTATAGGCCAAATAACAAAAAACCCTTGTTCCCCGTCCCTGTTTAAATTTTGGGGTTTTTTTACATCGAAAATGCAAAATTTCAATTGCTGACACATTTTATAGTTTACAAATGCATTTTTAAACACAAAGACCATGGTAACAGCAAGCGAAGCAATGACAAAACTATTGACAACATTTTGCTATGCAGAGAACATTCTTTGGCATATTTTGACAAACTGTGAAAAATATCAAATATCAAATAAGAAGTGCCTCCCTCACCAACTTTTTGAAAAATCCAGGACGGGAAACAAGGATTTTTTGTTACGTGTCAAAAGTTTTAAACATAATACTACAAGTGTAAATGTGTTGGTGTAGCGTGTTGATGATCATGATTATTGATTTTTTATCAAGCCTAAGACAAGTATACTTTAAGCCTCTTTGCTTGAATAAGCCAAAAATTGATTCCCTAGCTACAGTTGGTTGCATGTCTTTGCACATCCTTTGTTTGCAGCGTCTGTTACCTAGCGATGTAAATTCCGGTCCACCCTGAAGATCAATTAGAAGCATGGCAAGTGTAAAGTCAACTTTTGTGTAAACTTCGTTGGTATTTGATGAGATAAAAAATCCCTTTCTGTTCTGTGTGTTTTTGATTCAGAACTTGGTGATCATCACATAGTTTCTGATTTTGTATAATGCTAAAGTTCCATACTTCGTGTCCATAAGTGATGCATGTAAATTATGATACATACCAAATTAATAATTATATTCATATACAGTAAGCATTCTCCCTCCATTCAAACAGAGTTATAGAAATACAATTTAAGTGTTTTGTAGTTTTAAAAAATTGTGTAATGAGGTCATCGCCACAAATTGAGTTTGTGAAATTGAGAGTTTGTAATAGTTAAGTTTGTAATTGGGAGGTTCATTTGGGAGATGTTACTGTAGATGAGGAAATTACTATTAGAGATGTCTCAACATGCATACATTGCTCTATTCAAAGATGAAATCAGACTCACCACATACTTGTAACTAATTTCTATGGTGCAGTTAGGCACACCTTACACCATGTCACAATAACCACCTTGGGAGTAATTTGCAGGTATACCATGTAATGGTCTCCTCAAGCATCAATCAATTAGGTAGGCAAACCAATACAAACCCTTCCTGACTGTAGAGAGCAACCAAGTTCATGCAAATACTGTACTTCCTTTGGAGCAATCAAGCACACTAACTCTACCCCTGTCTCTTATACACATCTAGATGTGTATAAGAGACAGATAGTTAAGTTTGTAATTGGGAGGTTCATTTGGGAGATGTTACTGTAGATGAGGAAATTACTATTAGAGATGACTCAACATGCATACATTGCTCTATTCAAAGATGAAATCAGACTCACCACATACTTGTAACTAATTTCTATGGTGCAGTTAGGCACACCTTACACAATGTCACAATAACCACCTTGGGAGTAATTTGCAGGTATACCATGTAATGGTCTCCTCAAGCATCAATCAGGTAGGCAAACTAATACAAACCCTTCCTGACTGTAGAAAGCAACCAAGTTCACCATGCAAATACTGTACCCCTTTGGAGCAATCAAGCACACTAACTCTACCCTATCCAATCGACAATCAACTGCCATGTAACACCCCCTTGAACTCTAGTAAGTAATTGGGCACAGCATGTAACCAGGGAGATGTAAATGTAACTACCCCTCTTCTGGGACAAATCATACATACCATAAGGCATTTTTGTTTTGTCTTTTATGTTAATTTTATTTTTTATTCTCCTGAGTAATTTTGAAGCAACATAGCAGTGGCATAACCAGGGAGGTTTTCAGGATGTCTCAGAATCTCCACCTTTTTGTTTAAAGGTGAAAAATAATAGGAAATAAATGGAAATAAATTGCAATGTAAGTTACTTTAGATGTTAACAAATAATTTATGGTGTAGTCATAGCCATCAATATGCTCTGTCTCCCCAGTTTTCGCGCTTTGTGCAAAGTTGAGTAGCTGGTGCTCGATACCCTGGCTAAGTCATGCCTGTAGTTCACAAATCATGTGTTGCTAAGCAACCACAATGATGCTGATTAAAGCAGCCTGTAGATCTTACAAGTTTCATTGTACTAAAAGGGAAGTTCATTAAAAACTGAAAGGTCTACTGATTAATCTCAGATAAAATATTATAATACATACTCCAAGTATCGAAATGGACACCATCGTGTCGGGATTCAATATTTCGACATTAATTATGTCATCATCAGGAATCTTGATGATGACATAATTAATGTTGAAATATTGAATCCCGACACGATGGTGTGCATTTCGATACTTGGAGTATGTATTACACTATCTTATCTGGGAAGTTCATTAGTACAGTATTCCAATTATAGTGATGGTAATATCTTTTTTTTTTTATTACTTTCCTGTTTTATAGTTATTAAATTTTAGGTATATCAGCCAAAATTAAAGGTAGCTATAGTGTAACTCTTTATAATTATGTTTTCACCATTGCAGTATGTTTACTTCCTATAATTTCCCTCAACTTGTATTTTTTTCTTCTCCAATTCGTGTTTCGACGTTAGGCTATATATTTTATGATTATTATTACAGATGATACTCATATCATTGTCACCATAACAAACAATTTCATAGCGTATTGCTTTAACTTCTGACATTCAACATAATGTGTTTCATTTTAATATTGTATTAATTGTTATATAGGCTAATGGATTTTGACTGGTAATTCAATGACACAAGATGCTAATTGGGTTTATATTGTTTTTACCATGGTAACAAATTTGTCATTTTTCTATACACTTGAATGGTGTAACCAAGTTATTGATTTTTAATTCCTTAGTAGAGACCTCGTAAATATTTAGAATAATAATGGTTTAATGGCATCTAATGCTTTAATTCCATTCCTCATTATTTTTATCATGTTTCTCCTTGTGAGTATACATTTCTTGGAGATTTGAATATAACAACAAAATATTTCATTTAAGTTAAATTTAGTGCTCCACTTTTAAAGGCTTGATCTTTTCTGTTATTATTTCTTGTTCTAGATAATGATCTGATAAACACATGATTTGTTTGATGAAACAAATAATTTGTTTATCCATATCTTAATGGATGCTGTATCATCCAACTCCAATTTTGGTCTTGCCATAGACCTTGCTAAAAAATGTGAAACACATAGTATGACATGTAGAAGACCAACGTAATATTATTGTCTACTAACCAATTTTGTTACGATTGATTTTTTTCTACAAAGCCCCTTTTGGAAGAGAAGGTAAAGATGGTTCTTTAAGTAAGTTAGATTGATGTGGACCATTCACCATTTAAATTTCATCTACAAACTTTTTCAATTTTGTTTGTGTTCATCAAGTGGTTTAATTTTCTAAAGACAACTAATAAATCTGATTTAATAACCTTACTGGTCACCATTAATGTAAATCATTTGAATTGATTTTGCTATCATAAATGCATGGCTACTAATCTCATTCTTTGCACTACTGTATTGTGAGTCATCTACCAATTATTGAATAGAAAAATACATTCTAATTAGTCCTACTTAAAACTACAGACTTCACAATTGCAATTGAGTTTAGTGTTATGAGAATAATCATGGAATTTACAGATTGTCCACAGGAGGGCGAGGGAGTGGGGGGGGGGGGGGGGGGGGGGGGGGGGTCTTGCAATTTTTAAAGCATATATAGATTTATTGGCTATAATTTTAAAATTATTATATACCCATGTATGGAAATACTAATGGAAGTGGACTTGTATAGCACCTTACAATTGAAAATCATCTCAAAGCGCTTAAAGAATATGAAAAGAGAAATGAAAACTAACCCATAAACAATCCTCAAACTAATCAGAAACAATTTACCAAAGAATCAAATTAAGAACGAACCAGTAACACTGCACCGTTCTCCAGCAATGAATATACATTTAGTATAAATAGTTTATTGCCTGTTGTTATGAGATTACAGTGGATTTAAATAAAGGTGACATTAACAGATAGAAAGAGATAAAATCCTTATGATGGCTTAATATCTTACTAATGTAATGTTGGCCATGTGTAGTAGTTACTGATGATAAAATGTTTTGACATTCCACTGATGAGAAAGTAACACCCAGCTTCTTGTTCAAGGAAAATGTTTACTATAGAATAATAATACAATCCATGTTCAGTACTTCAGTTACTTATAGTAACACCTGCTTGCAGTGAAATTAATTTCATAGATACAATACACATTTCTTAGACATGTCATAATCCATTTTTTATTTCATATTTGTTATGAAAGATGAATATAAAATCCAAGTCTTTTAAGCTATGATTAAATACAGTATTATTTGAAGATAATTCTGTTACTTATACTGACGTACATACATTCAACTGCACTCAACTGTGTATATTATAATAAGAGTCCTAATAATATATACTGTATGTGGCATGCCAGAAAAATTCAATGGTATGCAGGTGGTGTCTAAAGCAGTGGCAGTCAACAGAGTGTTGTAGTACCAAGTGGAGGATCGCCTGGGAGAGGGTAGGCCAATGGATGGGCATGACTGAGCATGCTGTGGTCTTATAGGCTCATGTGTAAGCCAAAAGGAATATATAGGCTTTATGTAGGCTTTTATATAGCACTCTATACAACTCACTCACTCAGAGCGCTTTTTCACATTATTACCCCAGTCATTGGAACGATGTCTATGGGGAAAATTCCATATTTTGCTGCATGAAATATATCAGAGCACATTTTACACTCAAACCTCCTTAGGTACCCACTTATACTCCTGGGTAGAGAGCAATGCAGATAAAGTGCCTTGCTCAGGGACACAAGCGAAATGCACAGCGATGGATTGAAGCCCCCAACCTCAAGGTTGGGAATGGTTATGGTATCCTCTCCCTTTGTTGGGGAACCTCAAGGGAGGGGATGTTAGTCTTAATACACTTCATATATTATTTACTTGGGTCAAGCTTCTATGAAGCGTATACTCAGCTCCCTGCCCAAGGCAATAACAGTATTCCACAATGTTCATCATAGTAATCATTGCATAGCCATTCAAATCTAGCAGGTTTTCTCTTAGTTGCAACAGATATTATGGATAACGTGAAGTAGTTAGCTTTGACAGAACACTGATCTGTTGAGTGGTAACCCCTGCTTTACCGTTTTGCCATATGCTTCCACATACAGATACCATTTTACTTACTCCTTTGTTCCTATATTAACCAACAGTATTATTTGTTCAATCATTCACCTCTGTTCTTTCTTTGTATTCACACACTTTTCAACATTGAAAGCATTACAATAATATGAAAACATATTTATATATATTTTTCATGTGTACAATATTATGATTCAAATGTTTTCATTCAGTTTATACTATTAATTAATTGATTAATATACATTTTTTTGATAATGTTTCCAATTTACCAACTTTGATTTGATGGAGTTTTTTCAATATTATATTATGTTTGCTTTTGTTAGTGTGAATAATATTGTGTAATTTGTGTTGCAGCAAGGGATTATTGGAAAAAGCAATACTTTGAAGAGAAGAAGTTGACAAATCCTTTGGAGGACCACATCAATAAACTCCGGCAACAAGTAGAACAAGCACATCGCAAACTGATCACAATGATGGAAGGACGAATGCAAGCAAAGAAAATTCCACCATCTCAAAAGGTAGTGCTTAAAAAACACCTCATAATCTTAAATGACCTGGTATAATTGCATTTTCTGTGAAAGAAATTTCAAATGATTATTCACAGGGATAAGTTGTTGAGCTTGGAATGCCATTCTTAATTTAGTATTTAAACTTACTGTACCATGAGTGCTTAAACTTATATAGTATAATTATACAGTAATTGATAGTATCAAACAGTTCACTATGCTCAACAGGTGTGGTGGTACTATACTGTAGAGGGCAGTAGATATATTTAAGTTGAAGGACAAAATTATTAATAATGGGTCTGTCTTTCTAGAACAATCACAAGATTAACATTGCTAAGAGTCAGCACGATCTTGAGGATTTAAGACGACGAGTTGAGAATGCCAAGATGAGACTTACGTCAGAAATGAAGGTATTCCATTCTCAGCTCATTGTAACGGTTTCTGAAACATTCATATTGTGCTTAATTTGAGGTTCTGTTTGCATGTAGCCTACTTGTGAACCAACATCTGGGTTCAGGGGTTTCTTTTTTCATGGCAGACATCCTTATTATTAGTTCCATAATCTGACTAATGTAAGTTTGTCAACGATTATTGTGATCATCATTTTCATCATCGTTGTCAACATCATCATCGCTATCATCTTTACCATCATCATCACTATCATCAACACTATCATCATCGTTGCCACCATCACCTTCACAAGCATCATCATTGTCATTATCGTTAATCGTCTATACATCACTTTCATTGTACAAGTGTCCCATACATTAGTTTATGTGCCTCAACAATTATTGCTCTCCCTTCACCCACTGTCTCGCAATCATCAGTTGGTATCTAACTTTTGTTTTTCTCCTGTTGCAGTTGAGGAACCAAGCTGAGAAGGAACTGAGGAATTTGAAGAATGAGCTGACACAGAAGAAGATCCATGTGACCCTCACCCGCTCCCAGCAGCTGGCAATACTCAAAGAATCGGAAGAAACTTTACTATCATCGCGAACGCCACAACCTCATAGGACATCTCAACCCCGCAAAACACCTGTCGTACCTACACAGATAAGCCAATCACTGACATCACGTCCATAGTACACCTACTTCACATATCACCACCTGTATAACATTTCGTCACCAGTTTATAGTACACCTGTACTACTTTTCATCACCTTTAGGTACCTTTGATCTCAGTACATTATTCTTAAGATGTAATTTTGTGTAATTAAATAAATTATTCATAGCTGAAGTCTGTGTTTATTACCTTAATACATTGCTGTACTTGATAAGTAAAATAAATATATTTGCCTAAATCTCATTGGGCACAGTTTGTCAATTATAAATATTAATAATAGAGTCTCGTTCTAATTAAATAAGAAACAATTTATCATAATACTTAATACATATAATCAAATTCAGTGGCAGATCCAGATTTGTACAGATGGATGGTCCAGACTACCTCAGCCTCACCATGGTTGGGCTGATGTGCACATTTTTGTTGGCATCTCTAAATGGTAGGAAATGGCACTCTCAAACTGAAATTTGAGTGCAATTGCAACTGAGCCATGCCCAGTTGTACTAGCCTAATCTGATTCTAACTGAATGTGGGAACAGTTTATCATTATAATTGCTATATTATTATTTACATCCCTACTTCTCCAATAAAAACCAACTCCTCGTCTTCTTAGATTTCTAACAAGCATCTTCTTGAGCAAGGCAGGTGGAGACTTAATAACTTGGGTAAACGGACATGTGCCGCTCCTACATTATGGAATGCTCTTCCTCTTGAAATCAAAACCTCATCTTCTGTCAGTATGTTTAAAAAAAATGTTAAAACCTATCTCTTCTCCATCTCTTCTCTCAAGTTTTTTGACACACTTGTAAATTGTTTGTTAATGTATTTTTTAAAAATATTTTTCATAATCTTACAAACATTGTTAATTAACATGAGTAGGTAGTTAATGTACACTTTGAGTAATGCATTGTTATAGTGCCACTGAGCATTGCATTCTGCCCTGGATATTGGAGTTGTATAAATCATTGTTGATTGATTGATTGATTGATTAATAGAATCTCATTCTAATTAAATATATGTACAGTTAATCATAGGCATTAATGATGTAGTGTAATTCTAACTGATGGCACAGTTTATCATAACTATTAATGTAATCTATTTGTAACTGAATATGGGCACAGTTTATCATTATAAAGATTAATAATCAAATCTGATTCTAACTAAAATAGGCACAGTTTATCATTATAAGTACCATATGTTGATAAAACTCAATTAGGTTTGACAGTTACAAATTAATGACAGAAATTTATATCAGAAGCTCAATCATTTCTGTAAAGATGAATGCAGTTAATTCATATTGGGTATGTAGAATGTTTTAACAAACATAAAATTTCAAGAACTACTACTACAGATGAATGTAATAAAATAGCTGTAGAAATCAGATTTGAAAACGGGAGCTTCATGCCACTGCATTTGCTGCTTCTGTAATTCTGCATCTTAACCCGGGCACTCGCTGCCTTCGTACCACCATTGTACCACAAACCTCACTCCCTGTAAGCAAATAGATGACGCAACACTGTTTACCGATTGTTTAATCATTTGTTTCATCGTTTAAAAAGGATCTGCATTGCGTTCTCCATAGAATCGTGTCTGCCAACAACCGTCGGACTCAGTGTGTAAGTTGTTAAGTTACTAATTTATCAACACTCATAAGGCACATAATACATAAATTTCTATACACTTATACATTTGCATAGTTACCAACTTGAGAGATTTGAAATGCATATGTAGAATTTGATTTCATTCTACATTATGTTTAATTTGAGCACCTGAACTATGTACGCAAACATTTTATCATTTAAACAAATCAAAAATTAATAGGCATACTGAAGAATTTTTAGAAATGCATCAGCGAAGAATTAAGTATTCACGAAAATACTGTCTAATGGCTGAAGTTACTGCATGACCGTTTTCATATTTTTAATAAAACCAATTTCTTCTAAATTGAGATACATTTTTCCCCTGAATTTGTGTTAAATTCATGACACAGACCAGTGTTAAATGCGTGGCATATTTATGTTCACGCATGTGTTACTGCAAAATGCATGTTTCATCAAAAATCACTTTGAAATGCGGGACCGTTCCGCATGATGCGAGACGGTTGGTAACTATGCATTTTTGGTACAACTCTCTACGTTTTGAATATTGCTTTATTCATCTTGAAAATATGCCCATTATATATAGTTGGTAATATTTAAGTAAAGAATTTAATATACACGCTTGAAAATATGCAAAATTTACTTTATTCTCACTTTTCCAGTGAAAATCCAAAGTTTTTGAAAATCTAACAAGACAGAGTTTCTAAACATTTGTATATCATTAATTTGACGTTATATCTTTAGAAGAAATTCATCTACTGTATTTGCCATCAATAGTTTTTTTGGTTTTTTTTTTTTCCGTATAAACAGAAATGAATACACAACTATAAATTTTATGGCTTTGTTTTATATTTACTAGCATTGTCCAATATCTTTTGACTTACAGAATATATTTGTGCACAGTAGTTATGGCAAATAATATAATTTGAGTGAAACCATAGCTTGTGTGTTGACTGAGAATGACTCCCAATCCCATGGATTGTCTGTAAATGGCCCCTGGATTTTTTTTTCACAACCAAAAGTATGTGCCCAGCTGCCCCTCTTGCTGGCATACTTTATCTTAGTAAACTGTAAGATACTTTAAATCATTTTATCAAATATCTATTGTATAAAGATGGTATATATACATAATTATTGTATATTGTACAGTGAAAACTTAAGTAATGATTATAAAATAAAAAAATAATTGTGTGACCAAATTAATTGATTTGTATATAATATTTGTGAGCCTGAGTTTTTTTTTGTGTGTTTATTAAAAACCAAATAATTGATTATCTTAATGCAATTAAGCCCAATGAACAGTAGTGTATGAATTATGTATACATTTTTTTTACTAATTAAACTATGGGGTGACTGCTATAAAGCTATAGTAAAACGTATCAACAGATACTGAAATAATTATGCTATTATTACAATTTAATGGACCTGTGCCAAGCAAGGTTAACAACTGTCCAATGAGAACAGGGCTATGAATCCGCGCATGTCCGCCATTTGTGACCTTAGGCAGGACACTGCGTACATTTGTCTCTCTACCCAAAAGTGTAAATAGGTACTTATATAAGGTAAACAGGAACATGTGGAAGAGTGATAACTCTCAAACCCCCCCCCCCCCTTTACAGAAATTAACAATCAGGCCCAAACGGCAGAGTTCCAGTTTCTACTTTAACCTTACGTTGGTGTGTGGTGGGCGCTTAACAACGCTATGCAAAGGGCAGAGCTTAACTGAAAGGTTCCAATAAGCATTTCTTTTACATCATTGTCTTAAAAAACTATTAAAAAAAATGTTTATTGTTATTATTTTAATACCAATTACTGTAATACGTGCAGCACTGTAACCACATACGGTACTGTGTTTTAAACAAGCATGTCCATGTTTGTGTACCTTTCGTTTTATCTGTAACATCAAATATAGTAAAGTTCAGAATTGTAAATATTTATTAACAAGCCTACTACTTCAATAATTTATGGAATAAAATTACCAAATGCTATCTTTCTTGTAGATTTTGTCTTTTGTATATCTGAGATCTCCATATTCTCGTCTTTTTATATGTTCCTATGTTATTTCATTTGCAAATGAATAAAAAAATAGTCATTTTCTGTCCAATAGGCCCACAGCCACTATTAGTTGTGAGTTTTAATTGCTGTTTATCTACAGAATGATAATCTGTATATGCAGCTTGAATTAATTATTCTATTGTCCATTACAACACATCTGGATGAATAATAAATCGACTTCATTTAAGAGCAATTTAAAACGCACTTTTCGGTTACCACTGTAAGCTGCACTTACGATGTTATTTACACAAAAATTATGAGCTCTAGTCTTAGAATCTTTGTAGAAAGTAAAAAAGGACTAATAATTGCAGACTCTTATTGCTATCCATGAATCAGTTGGATTCAATATTTGAGTTTACAGGAACACTCACCTTTGTGTTTGAGTGAATTCAGCTGCATAGCGATTTTTTTTTACATCGATTTACTCATTAGAAAAGTACGATGTACAACAATAAGTAAATACATACACTCGGTTTAAAGTTTGCTCATGTTCAAGGAGTTCGTATAATAAGTTTGAAATCTAAAAAAAATGAAAAAAGAAATAACACCTTTACAAAAGATGAATAGGCTATAAAACACTTGCCTTTCGATGGTATGTCATTTATTCATGTTATGTTCATAAAACGTGTTAAGAGAAATCTTTAAAGGCATACAAAATATAAATACAAATTTAAACAGCATTAATATTAATGAGTATGAAAAGGTCAAAAACAACAAGTAAAATGTAAATTTACATACAAGACAACTCATAAATCATATCCGACAAACTCCATATAACAGAACCAATAACAGAATACTGTAAAGTTTGCCATAGAGGTATTAAATAAAATATTTGTGTAGATGAAAAATCAAGGTTTCATAAATGTTCTCTATTGTGATATCTGGATGTCCAGCTAGCGATTCCCCTCCCCCTTCTCCCTCTTTAATGAATATGTATAAGACAGTTCCCCCTCCCTACCAACGGAGACTTGTGTCATGAGACTCCTAACTGAAGTAAACTTGATCACCTACGAGTTTCACATATTGTCCTTCATAACTCGTCGTTTGCGTGCACATTTCTAGGTTCTTCGGTTTTTAATTTACTTCTGGTGACGTCAGCATTTTCAGCGTTTAGAATTGCTGATTTTGTAACGTCATCATTTACATTTTTTACATATTCATTTTCTACCTCTATTCTCATTTCATTTTCATCGTAAAATTCCAGATCAACTTCACTTTCCAGTTTCTTTTGATATTGTTCTTGTTTTTCACGAACGTTATCAACATTTATCCAATTATTTGCTATCCACTTAGTCCCCGAGTGTACGTCACACCCTCCATGTAGAGCAAACATGTCCAATTCACCCAACCATCCTGTGATATAACAGAACATACAATTTACTAAAATGGAATTTTAAAAACCCTGTATTCAAATAATCATCACATCATCCACGAATTAACAAGTTTGTTCTAGGAAGTTCATAGCGGCAGCCTGAGCAGCAATGGCAGCAAAGCCAAAGAAATTAGAGGTTTGTTGTAAAGTTAAAAGCAGCAATGGCAGGAATGCCATCCGTTTCGACCGCAATGTATTTAATATCAAGAAAATCAGGTAATTACGTGTTTGTACATTATCCTTACTTTACAAATAAATAGGCTTATCATATCATCCAGTGAGAATTTTAAGCTTGTCGAACTTAGAATTACACCACTCGTTTCTTGTAGGCCTATGTTATGCGTGCCTAGGCTTCCCTTGTCAAATTGACAAATAAAACATGTTTTTTTGCCTTCACATTCTTTTTATTACTTTTAAGTCAAGACGCATGTTTATTATATTATAATTATCAGTATTAAGATATTTACTATTCATTTAATTTAAACATACAATACAAAATGTGTTCAATACATCGCAGCCGAAACGGTGCTATACGAATGGCAGCAGGCGCACTAACCATATGTACGCGGCAGAACGTTTTTGAAAGTGGGGGGTGGGAAGTGGGGGTGCGGAATTTCATAAGGTCCGGGGGGCCGCCAAGGGCCTCAGTGGTGGTGCAGGGGGCGAATCCCCCTGAAAGCTACGGATATTTGACGAAGTTTTAGTAGTTATTTTATAGCCATCAAACTGTAATATGACTTCATAATTGTTATTTCCGAAGTCGAGATTGCTCCCACGATTACAATTAATTATTTATCATGAGGGGTATCCTTGATATGGTTATTCTCCGACGCTCTCATACTCAACTCAATAAACACACATTTCATTTCATTAAGATTTGTTTTGGTCCAACCGACTGTCCGACAAGCTCCGGCCGGTGCAGGGAGGGGGCTTGACCTGTCCGATTGGGGCTTAAGCCACTACTGACACCCGCTGGTGGCGCATCAAGAGATGTCCGAAAAAGGGGGGGGGGGGGGGCGGGGGGGGGGGGGGGGGGCGGGGGTTGGCGATCGAGAGACAACCCGGAAATAACATCTGAGGTGTTTTGGGCGATCAATATTTTTTTCTTTCTTTATTTTTAATTTTTTTTACTTTCCAAAAAAAGGCGAGGTGCAGGCGGAGCATGCCCTCCTCCCCCTAAATCCTCCCATGGCAGTAGCAGCAGCAGTATTATGTCAAAATAATTATAGACGTGTATTTACCTGTTTCATCCAAACGATGGTTGTACCACATAACAGCTTTACCTTTGACTGGTTCAACAATTAGTTTAGCATCTTTACAATGATGGCTCAGGTCATAAATAGTATCGCTATTTTCATTTAGTTCCTACACAGAATAACGAAGTAAGCCTATAATTAACGATGTGGTGCTCCCTCCCCAACTAGGGTGGGGGGCGGAGGTGTAATTTTGCGCCAGGGGTCTTAATCAAAATGCTACCTTGGAAAGAGTACATACTTTAAAGCTTGTAAATTAAGTGGCTTACCTCGTGGAATAATATAATATTATTTATTATTTACATATTTATTATAAAATATGTAATTGTTATCATAAACCACTAAAATGAAATATATATATATATATATAGAACTGCATTTACCTTATTAATGACATTAAAATGTATAGGCCTAAATTTACTAGGATTTAAACAACCTTGTTACTTTTATGTTCACTCCTGTCGCATAATTATAAACACCATTTAAATATCACACATTGCATTTATTCTTCTATTTTGTAATATTTTGAGTTAAATACAACAAAGTATACTAATATCCACAAAAAATGAATGAGTCAAAATTAAATATAACTTAACTGCACTGGGGTATTCTAAAACTTACGTCATCGTTGATCGTTTCATTGTCCGCCAAAGGAAATGCTGTTTTTCCTCCATCGTCTACGTCATTTAGGTAGTACAATATAGTTATGTATCTAGATAGACCAATCAGGAGTATTTACATTGATCATGATAATCATGATTAATTTAGTAATAGCAATAATTTAAAGAAAATTTGACAATATAATAATTATCTTTATCATCATCATCATCTGATCTTTGTCATTATTATCATAATATAATCATTATCATTATCTTTATCTTAAGCAACATCATCATCATTATTAGTATAATAATTATAATACTACAATTAGGCTATATTTTATTATATCATAATTATTATTATTATTATTATTATTATTATTATTATTATTATTATTATTACAATACCAATGACAATGATAACAACCTGCAAAGGCGGTGCTTCCGTAAGAAAAGATCGTCGTTTTGTTCGTCATAATCTATCGTCGAATGATGGCACGGCATGTCGGAGTTAATATCTTCAGAATCGTAGTGAGCATGATAGTGACCCCCGACGCTGTATTTCACTACCTTCACATTACAAGAAATAACACAGCATTTAAAATACATATTAAGATACGTTGCGTAGATATTCACTCCCCACGCTGTATTTCATTACCTTAGTCCCTACATCAGAAGAAAAAACGCAAAATTTAATATACAGTATATATCAAACAAATTGTCAATACCTGTAATAATTCACTTCCCTTAATAAGAGTACGAGGTAAGCGCGTCAGAGCTATCACCCGTTCCCTTAATGATCTAAGAACAACGTCCTGTGCATCGTTTTGAGATAACCAGACTTGTTTGCTTTCTCTGGTAACCCTAGTTTTGTCCGAATTCATCTTCTTTTGCATCCAATCACGAATATCTGCTTCCGATGTCACCTTATACTCGTCCAGATCAAGGAAGCCGTCCGAGTTCCTGTCTATACCGAGATCTGCAAACAATTCGTGTATATCTCTAAGGGACATAAACGCATTCCTTTCTGGGGGAAGTATATCACGCACCTCTCGAGCGTCAAGGAGACCGTCCTGACTCCAATCAAACTCCTCAAACATTCTGAGGATTTGGTCATCTTTGTCTTGCGTCACCTGTTGTGTTTCATCTAACCCCTGTGTAGCGGTGAAACGCGTTTGAGGATCTTCTGCCACTGTGCTGTTATCAAGGCCTTCTTCTAATGCGATATGCCTAATGCGATCACATTCGGAGTCCGAAAGAAAGTTAAGTATTTCTTTAAAAAGTAGAACAGAAAAACACAAACAAATTTGGTTATTTTTAAATCATTAACATAGGTTTTTTTTAAATGAAATATTGTGATATTCAAGTTTGTGTTATTCTATTAGGCCTATTTGGATGCCAAACGATTGGGTGGCGTATCAGTAATAAAAATACGATCAATTTACTAAGTATAGGCTCCTCCGATTAAAGACCACCTCTAATTAAAGATCTTTTCTGTGGTCCCAAATTAACAAATGTATTTATCTTTATTATTAGAGACTAATTAGAGACCAAAGCTGCTGCCCATGGAAACCCTGATCCCAAAAGTGGTCTTCAATTGGAGGGAGACCTGTAATATTGGAGATGGGATGAGCAAAATAACTCAAATGAACAATCAATGATATGCGAATAAACTTGCATCACGTAGACGTCCATGTTCTGCAATTAATGTCCCGTTTTTGTTCATTTTAATTGTTGTAATCACGATTATTCCACATAAACTGTACATTAATTTTAATAGAAAACATCAGTTCGAAATATATCATTTCTTTACTTTTATCTATTCCTATTATAAATTGTACAACATATTATATTTACCAAACACAGGAGGTTTCATTGACACTGTCTGAACAGTAAACATTTTCCCAGGCTCTAACTCCAGCACGCGTTCAAATCCGATCTAATATTAAATGAAAAAATAATAAAGTTCTTTAGAAATTTGACAAAATGCAGTTAATTTCAAACCTACATCGAAAACATATATTCTATCTGCTGAAGAATAATTGGAATGAAAACAAATAATTTTTTTTTGTGCGAAAAATACAGATTCTCTTTGTCTTGTATAATCTCACGTGTATCCATCTTTAGAATGTGAATGTAATGGAAAAGACCTTTTATCATCTTTTAAGAGTTAACTTTTAGTCTAATTTTACACTTTTATTATTTATTTATTTCTGTCCATTTTTTTTCTATTTAATCATTCTTTAAACTTTTGTAGTTTGATATTCTATGTATTTTGATGTGTTGCTAAATTTATCTCTCCTCTTCTGAGATTTAAAATAAAATTAAAATCTCAAAAAGGTTCATGAACCGTATTTTGTATTATGAAGTGCATGGGCTTCAAAACAATATCGCATTCATCATTTGGTAAACGATATCTTTAACACGACAAATGAGTAGACGTTTATCACGGCGAGTACGATGAATTGTCAGTTAACGAATAAATTGGAACGTCAACATAGATTATTATCACTACTGTGAAGCTTCTTATCTAGTTAGCGGCTTAACTGCCTTCAGATGCGCCTTAAATTAAAATAAGTAATATTCTTGTCTGCAAGTCTCATTTCACCAGATTATTGATATAAGCAAAGAGTATAGAATTGCAAGGTGTCCAATTATCCGATGATTATCGTTACTTTGCTTGCATGCAATGAAACGAAAAGCGAAGTATTACCACGAGAGAGGGGGCGCCCCATTAGAATTCAGATAGCATTTCGAAAATGAAAGGCGCCCTCTAGTTTATGGTAGTACTTTTCCGCGATAGGATTTTTTGTGGTTAAATATTTAAAAGAAACCTCCAATATTCGATCAAAACATAATTATAAAATCATTTACAAGTATCAAATTACCAATATCAGATACTCACGAAAACAAATTAGTGTTCACGATTTTCAATGATTGTTTTAATTAAAATCAAAATTAAAACCAATACAATGACGGAAGTACAATTAACTTACTTAAATATACAAAAACAACAATTCAAATGGTATGTTTTATTTCTCAAGTTCAAAGCTCAAAATAATTACTGATGACAGCTCTTTGTCATATAAGCATGTAGCAGAAATCCCCTGAGAGGGCGTTGCTCATTAAGCGACTAATCATATGATGTCTCTAGTAAGTAGGCCTAATTAAGCATATATCATCTTACACCTAAGTCGTAGCTAAAGTACGGTACTATACATATATAATTTCACCTGTTGTGCTGATTGACATGACTGTAGGAATGAAGAACGATCCCATTTTCCGGCTCTTTATTTACACTGTAAGCAGTGGCGTCTCCCCCCCCCCTCTGGAAGTGGGGGAGGGGGAGGGGTGGTGAAGTTAGGAGGAAGCTCGATGATTTGGTGAGGGGCGCTAATAACTTGCAAATATAAGGTGTTTTTTACTACTTGGGCGTGATTTTTTGTGTGGGGGTGGGGGCGACTGGAGAGCAGTATTTTGGGGTCACGTGTGTGCACCCTCCCCCAAGCAACCCCTAGATACAACACTCACTGTAAGTTACTGAACTTTAGATATTAGATGATAATGATAATAATGAAAATGTTAATGATAATAATAGCGGTATTAATTATAACTTTTAATAATGTGTAGTAGGCTAAAAAAATAAAAATTCACTTAGGTATGATAACTGAAAGATCAACGTTTCACCTTAAAATATTACAAAACATGATGATGATGATGATGATGATAATGTTGATGATGATGATGAGGATGATGTATAATTATGCTGATGTTAATGACGGTGATGGTGAAGTTGTTGTTGATGATGAGATGATTTAGTTTAGGGTAGGTAAGTTGGGGGTTATTAAGACTTTAGTGGAGTAACGTCCCTACCACCTCAGGATGCATAGTTCAGTTAACTTGAGGCATGTGAGTGTCTTAGGATTTGCTGGACTTCCTTACTCATATGCATATCATAATATTGCCATATAAGTCTGTCATATGATGGAAACGCAACAATGAAAAAAACTGAATTGACCATTTACTATCATTTTGCAGTCTCATGTAACTCGCATCTTTTCATGTGCATACCTTGTCGCGGTCTCAGTTGAATATGTTACTTAGTCGAGCGCATTATTTCATTTCATAGTTCCAATGCATAGATGTAAATCAAAAATAGGGCATAATGGCAATGGTAATCGCTTTTTTGGGCTGATTCAGTCTATAAATCTTTGGATACATGAACCACTTTCATTGAAATATTATCAATGATCATAAGCTCACTAATGCTGTATTGCAGCGTAGCCTTATATTATTAATATCAATTATAAGTCAATCGTAAGGTCATCACTGCAACTCGCAATGTTACTTGCCTATCTCCACAGTGCACTATAATTGTTCATGTAGTGCACGGTTGGCTTGATCTTTTTTTAGGTTCGTGTGCAAAAGACCATTTCAATTTGTACATATTGCGCACCGCGATGAACAATAGGCTGGTTTTACACCTAGCACTAATTGCGTATTAATAGCATTAATCATAATGCTCTGTAATCCTTAGTAAAATATGGAAGTTACATTAGTACAATATATAT